CTAAGAGCTTGGGCGATCCTGACTTTGAGTTAGTTGAACAAGACCCAGATGAAGATGAAGCAAATCATGAGAATGACGAACTTCCTCTCCGCTTGAGTATTATAATAAATAGTTTTACTGATCAAAGTGTATTTATAAGTTATAATAAGTTTTATTTTCGTGAACATCATAAGTTACAGGTGGCTTCTGACGCTGCATCATTTCTAATTTCGTTTTATAATACTCTTGTTGTAAAATACTTGTTTAGTACTGCTGTAATAGCACTAGACGTTGCAGTTCTTTTGTAGTTAACCCTTTGGTTTCCTCAGTTTCGTATTTCTCTGTTGCTGATTTTCTTTTTGGTGGCAATGTCTTCTCAATTTCTCGCGCTGTAATAATGTTTGCTCATTGCGCTCGGTATATAGTTCACATCCTTCTTCTTGAACACTACCAACCTGAATGGCACCTCTAATTTTCCCAATTGTAGGATTACAGTCACCTTCCATAGCTTCCAGCAACTTTCTTTCCCAATCTAACAGTTTAATTGCTTTATTACCAGTTATTTTAGATCTGTTTTTTTCTTCAATCTTGATTTCATGTTGTTGATTTTTTTTAATAAGCCTAGTATCTAATGGTTTACCGAATGTTGATTCGTATTTTTTCAACATCTTCTTCAAGGCATCGTCCTTTCTCATTTTTATTTTTGGAACTAGTGACTTTTGCAAAATAATGGGAGCAATGGCAATTTCATCTGCGATGAACTGCAGGTCGTTGCCATTATTTTCTATAGTTTCCTCATCACTTGAGGGTGACATGCTTATTAATTTGATAAAAAACCGTATCCAGTAAAAATACGGAACGGTCTGTGTAAACTCTGGAGTACAACTGTCAGTGTTGGTGAGTGAACGAACTCCCATGTCAACTACAAGCTGGAACAAGCCAGGACATGTCGCTCAAGATACAAATACCAGTTAACCTGTTACTGCTTCTTTGAAGATATCCTCGCGAGTATAAGGTAATCATTATGAATATGAAAACAAGGATATACTTATACTTCTAACTTTTTCTCCGAAGCAAGTCCTTTTACTTTTACCTTATGCTTCCGAGGATAGGCTTCTCTTTTATGAATACAGATCAATATCTCATTTTCGATATTTTTCACGATTACAATATTTCCTCGCCAGTAAGCGTGGGAAGTAAAAAGAGGACCGTTCTCCCGAACCCCTAATCAAAATGTATTACTCATTAAAAATCTTCTGAACTGGTAAAAACATAAAACAAAAGTGTATCCCATATTATTTGAAATTGTTAAGTGAACGTGCATATCTCATACCTACATCTACAATGTGAGCGATAGCTTACGCGGAGTATTTAAATGTGAAACATCCATCTTAACAAGACAGAAGAAAAACAAACAAAAAAAAATCAACAAAACGACGTATTCCGAAGCGGTTATCCGAAAAAACACTAACCACGCCCGACGCTGTGTTGCTCCGGCGATGGGATGACTATCATCATCACTTCATCAGTAGCTTGATCATTCGTTTCATAGTATTGTTGCGTAAAATAGTTCTTTCGTTTTAGTGAACTTGACCTATTGAACTAGTTCACCGAAACTAGCATGAACATGAATAGGGTGGAGATGTTTTCTGTTATTTTTGGCTCTCTAAGACGTAAAGCGGGTATTTTGATATGCTTATTTTATTTGTCCTTATTTTTCAACAAAAAACGATATACAGGGTGTCCCAGAAGTCGACGTCAAGCCGAAACCGGGTGATAGGCAAAGTCATAACAGTTATCAGAAAAATATTTAAAAAAATGTTATGTATGTGTTTTGAAAATTATAGGTCTTTGAAAAAAATATAGAAATTTCACACCCTACGGCAGTCTGTCAACTCCTGTTACTACAAATATTAACTTTTTTTGGATTTTATTTTTACAATGTAATGACGAATAATGCATCTTCAAACTGTGTCTCAACCTCACTGCTAACTTTTCTCGTTCAGGAAAAATTGACACTTTTTTCCAACCAAGTATTCCAAAATAAAACTTTGCTCAACTTTAACTGGCTGTACTGGAAAAAAATGTACTACGAGAGTTTGGCAAGTAACCTCAAAAGTTGGCGCATTTAATAAGGATTCCAAAATGGTATAACACTTAGAAGATTACTCGTTAATTTATGCACAATTTTTATTTGAAGAAAAACTGATGAAAATTTTTCAAAATTTCCTAATTAAACAGCGATTATGAAAACGCACAAGGACCCTTAAGGATAACCGTTTGCACAACAGTGGGCGTCAAAATGCTGCTGATGATGATTTACCTTTACAGCAAGTGCTCAAACTGTTTTCCTTCAGCCGCAATACACGCTCGACATCTTCTTAAAACCACGGCCACGGTATTGTACCAGACCGCCCTATCCATCTGCCTGGAAAGTTTTGATCGAGATACTCTCTCACTGAGAGTGCCTAGTGCGCTGGGCAGCCATCATGCTGAAACCACATGTCCCTGTAAATACTCAGTGGCATGTCCTCCAATAAATTTTCTAATTGATTTTGCAAAAAACCTAAATAAACTTCAGCAGTCAAAGTCTCTGGGAACTCAAACGGACCGATTATTTTACCATTTAAAATTCCTGTCCAATGGTTTATCTTGAAGCGATATTGAGATTTATCTTCTCTCATCAAATGTGGGTTTGCTACGTGCCACTCGTGTAAGTTATGCAGGTTCATGTACCCATCTTTCTTAAATGTGGTCTCATCTGACCATAAAATTTTTTCAAAGAACCGTGGATCTTCCCTGTGTCTTTCTAACATTGTGCGACATAATCCCGGGGCAGAAGAGCTTGAACACGCTGTACGTGGTATGGATGGAGCACGTTTTTTTGCAAGATTCTATGGGCTGTACTTTTGGGCACACCTGTTTTTAGTTCTATTGCACGCACTGAAGTACTCGGGTCTTCTTCGACAGCTCCTAGCACCACGTCTTCGTAAGGAAGGAAAGACCTTCCCTCACCGTGTGATTGGTTTGGTAGTTGGCCCTCTGAGAACAGTAAGCGGTGCACATTTGTGAACACTCGATGATCTGGATGACGAGCTGCATTCGGGTACCTCTCACAGTAAAGTCTCGCTGCAGCACTAGCGTTGCATCTGCATTCCCCATAAATGAGGTGCATGTTAGCATATTCTTGTACGGTGTACACGGACATAGCGGCACTGCACAATCACACTATCAAAGATAGTCTAAGGAAAGCAAATGTTGTTTTGAAGAGCAATTAAACAGTCCAAATCCAAATCACAAGCGATCAGTAGTCCAGTTCACGAATCCAAAATTAGTAACAGTGCGAAATCAACAAGCACGAACATGTAAAGATGCGCAGTAAACGAAGAAGTACTGATCGGTATCAAATTGTGCAATAGCAAGTAAGTGATGTGCTTCATCCATACCACATACAGCGTGTTCAACCTCTCCTGCCCCGGGATTATGAGCCCCGAGTTGCTTTTTGTCACACAATGTTAGAAAGACACAGGAAAGATCCACAGTTCTTTGAAATAATTTTATGGTCGGATGAGACCACATTTAAGAAAGATGGGTACATGAACCTGCATAACTTACACGAGTGGCACGTAGCAAACCCACATTTGATGAGAGAAGATAAATCTCAATATCGCTTCAAGATAAACCATTGGGCAGGAATTTTAAATGGTAAAATAATTGGTCCGTTTGAGTTCCCAGAGACTTTGACTGCTGAAGTTTATTTGGATTTTTTGAAAAATCATGTACAAAATTTATTGGTGGACGTGCCACTGAGTATTTACAGGGACATCTGGTTTCAGCATGATGGCTGCCCAGCGCACTATGCACTCTCAGTGAGAGAGTATCTCGATCAAAACTTTCCAGGCAGATGGATAGGGCGGTCTGGTACAATACCGTGGCCAGCTCGATCACCTGATTTGAATCTTTTAGATTTTTTTACTGGGGAACTGTAAAAGAAAAAGTGTATTTCAAGCCGATTCAAAATGTAGCTGAGCTACGGCAAAGACTATTGGAAGCAGCTGAATTTGTTAATAACTGTGGATTCGCTCGTTTAATAACCCGATCTTTTTTAAGAAGATGTCGAGCGTGTATTGCGGCTGAAGGAGAACAGTTTGAGCATTTGCTGTAAAGGTAAATCATCATCAGCAGCATTTTGACGCCCACTGTTGTGCAAACAGTTATCCTTAAGGGTCCTTGTGCGTTTTCATAATCGCTGTTTAATTAGTAAATTTTGAAAAATTTTCATCAGTTTTTTTTCAAATAAAAATTGTGCATAAGTGACGAGTAATCTTCTAAGTGTTATACCATTTTGGAATCGTTATTAAATGCGCCAACTTTTGAGGTTACTTGCCAAACTCTCGTAGTACATTTTTTTCCAGTACAGCCAGTTAAAGTTGAGCAAAGTTTTACTTTGGAATACTTGGTTGGGAAATAAGTGGCAATTTTTCCTGAACGAGAAAAGTTGGCAGTAAGGTTGAGACACCAGTTTGAAGATGCATTATTCGTCATTACATTGTAAAAATAAAATGCAAAAGCAGTTAATATTTGTAGTAACAGGAGTTGACAGACTGCCGTAGGGTGTGAAATTTCTATATATTTTTCAAAGACCTATAATTTTCAAAACACATACATAAAATTTTTTTAAATATTTTTCTGATAGCTGTTATGACTTTGCCTATCACCCGGTTTCGGCTTGACGTCGACTTCTGGGACACCCTGTATACTATTATTTTCGTCATCCTAGTAGATCCTGTATTAATGTCGTTGATTTGGACAACAAATTTTACGATTCTTTTCAAACAGGTGAATGAGTTTTTAGCCTTTCTCAGGCAGAAAACATCAACCCTATCGATCGTGTCTGCCCTGAAGTGTGAGATTCTCCAGAAATACGTCATATGACAAGACAACCTCCATGGAAAAGCTTGCTACATTTCATCATGGTGGGTAGCGTAAGAATGACCTACCTAAATAATTCGTATACTCACGTTGTGGGTAAAATAAGCAAAGACCTTTTCCTATCGGCGAACTGAACGTTGATCTCCGACGAGATTATACACTGATCGCACATTATGTCCTCCACATCTCCCATGATGTCGCTAACTCCTGCAACAAAAATCGTATGTTATAAGAAAGATCGATAATTTTGCTTTTGTATTATCCTAAATAGAGCTTGCTGTTAAAATAAATTACATATGGTATAAAAAACTAGCTTACACGGTGATTCCAAAACATGTACTGATGACAATTTTCGAAATGCTACTTGATTTCGGAAAAACAAGCCCCTGAAGTTTTTTTTAAATAGCTTTTGAACAACACCTCCTAATCGAACAAAATTTTGATAAGGTAGTAACTAGTTGAAGCCTCATAAACAATTAACTGATTTAGTTTTGCCAGGACGGACTACAGCTCAAACGCAATATCGCTTATTTCTTCACATTCGGTATAATAATGGTTCAAAAGTATACTAAGTGACATATAAATCCGAACACCCAGTTTAAATGGTTTTATTTTAATAAAAGTTGGTGAATGTATTTATCTTATTGTAAATAACAAGTGAAAAAATTTTCAGCCTTATCAGTTGGACATTCCGGTTTTTATACTGCTTTTTTTAATTCACTAACGCTCTAAAAATGTAATATTTCAGCCGCAGTAAAGAATCAGCGTTGGCGGATTTTGGTTCTTGACATCCTTTACGATCGGTTACGATGCCTAGAGTACGGATACCTGTACGATTTCGTCAACTTAGTGAGTTTGATAGGGGCCGTATAGTGGGGCTTCGGGAAGCTGGACTTTCATTTCGGGCAATTGCAGTTAGAGTGCAAAGAAGTGTAGACACTGTGGTTAGGTGTTGTCAGGCATGGCTTCGAGAAGGCCGTACGCAAAGAGCAAGGGCACTGGACGCCGTTGTAGAACAACAGACCGTAAAGATCGCCGCCTAAGATTATTGGCCTTAAGGGACCGTTTCTCCACTACCAGGTCCATTGCAAATGAATGGTTTGCAGAACACGGAATACCTATTGGCATGCGAAGTGTTTACCGACGAATGAGAAGTTTTGGCTTGTTTTCATACCGGCCACACTGGGTCCTCCCTTTAACTCGAGAACACCGACGTAATCGCCTTGAGTGGTGCAGACAACGGTCACTCTGGGATCAGGAATGGAACAGTATTGTCTTTAGTGACGAGTCTAGATTTTGTTTAGGCATGCACGATGGTCCTGCCAGGGTTAGAAGGCGACGTGGTGAAAGGAGGAATCTACAGTTTTTTGTTGAAAGACATGTTCATCACACTGTTGGAGTTATGGTTTGGGGTGCTATAGCTTATGGTTCCAGGTCACGTTTAATCTTCATCAGAGGTAACATGAACGCGCAGCGTTATATCTACGAAGTTCTAGAACCCCATCTTTTACCCTATCTTGACACCCTGGCAGATCCAACTTTCCAACAAGATAACGCCCGACCACATGTTGCAAGAGTCACAATAGACTTCTTTCAACATAATGATGTCACATTATTACCATGGCAACCAGGATCTCCCGACTTATCCCCAATTGAGCACGTGTGGGATATGATGGGTAGGAGATTGCTCAATTTGCAACGTCCTCCTCAGACTCTAGAAGCACTTCGAGAGGAGTTGGTGGTTGCCTGGAATGAGATACCACAGGAGGACATTGACCACCTGATCAGAAGCATGCCTAGGCGCGTTGGAGAATGCGTAGCACATCAGTGTGCATCCACACATTATTAAAGGTCAAAGGGCTTTAAAGCAGTGCAATCATTTTGAAATTTTTATCATTTACTTATTATGCTTCATTAAGTACTTATACAAAATTTTATTAAAATAAAACCATTTAAACTGGGTGTTCGGATTTATATGTCACTTAGTATATTTAACTGCAGAGCATGATTCTTTATCTGAGAAGTATTGTTGTTTGATTTTGATAAAATACTGCCCCTATCGATGTACACAGCAGCCGATTCCCAAAAAGTGATATATCATATCCATCGTCAGCGTCAAGCAGGCAACACCGCGGCCTGTCAACGCCCTAATCAACCTCTGACGGTCAAGCAATCCAGACGCTTCATTTTGCCCTAGCTGTTTCCTGCGACTTCGTACGACATAAACTTCCCATCACGTTTGTATATTTAATGGCACTAGCAAATTGTCAGCCAACTTTCATACTTGCGAAATTTGATGACCTTATTAGTGGCGCTATCTTACTTTCTACGGGTAAAACCGTGGGGCAGAAAGTTAGTAGTCAATGAAATACTATTGAAATATTTGTTTAGGTTTAGAGCCATTATTATACCGCGTTTAAAAAAATCATGAATACTTTATTTAGGATTTTCCGTCGCTAGCGAACTAAGTGAATCAATTATTTTCCAAGGACACTGTCATGAGAGGTCTCAACGAGTTACTAAGATGTTGTTCACAACTTAACCTCATTGACAGATGGCAATATAGTCTTAAAACGACAAAAGGAATCACGCCATGTTTTGGAAAAACCCTATATGAAATAGTTGATTGCATGGTGTTAATGAAGTGTCTGGCCAAACATCATGGACTGATTCATTGAGTATTTTTGTGATTAGGCAGCAGCGCAGAGAAATTTTTCTCTTGGCTATGGTTGTGATTGTCCGTTCGTGGTAGACGGTCTCTGACTGTCGAACGCAGAGGTACCACCCGGCGGATCTCGTTGGCGGGGCCAGAATGTGTGCATGCTGCATGCACACGTGTTCCCTCGGTAGAGACCGTGTGGCGTCCCCCCCTTTAGCCCCACGGTACCCCATGGGTGTTTACGCCTTCGTTGTAGCTGGAGTATACAAAAAAAAACGAAAAGTAAATAACGGTAGGCCCAATAATGCCGCGTTTTTTAGATACATTTTTAGTGATAATCTCAATTATTCATCAGTCGATCCATTTATTAACGTTTTCACATATTCAGAACAGTGAGGAATTATGATGACTGGATGGCGCTAAAGTGATTCAGATCCTTTTTTGAAAGTCGGAATGCAGTAAATGGTCGACTACTTTCTTGTACAATAAGTTGATCAATGGTCGATTTTGTTGAAGCTTGTAGATATTACAACGTACACAGATGTAGCGCTGGAAATTTATACTGAACCGAATAAAAAAAAACTCAAAAAAGCATTCGGAGAATCCAACGGATTTATATCCTACATGCTAGCTGGCCATAACTATTTGGAGTTTCATTTAATCCATCTCTTAAATAATATCACAAAAATTAACACAACGTTTAAAGGTTTATTCTAGTTTTTACGGACACATTAATTTTCGAATAAAGTTTGACACGCTGTATCTTGAAAATAAATCATTATTGGACGTATGTTTATATGAACTGAACTTCTTGGAATAACCCAATGCATGACCTCTTGCAACGATCAGATTTTTTATGAACACCCTGTATATGCCGTAAGCATGTCACACGATCAGTATTTACTGTGATCCGTCCGGATTTAACATGGGACGTGATATTTTTGTTGAAATGTAGCCTGGACGTCAGTAAATATTGATACATAAGATTACAAAGAAATCCACAGACACTGTTGGAATCATCAGTAAATACTGATGGTACGGTCCACAGTAAATGGTGATGTGTGAAGATATTTTGCCAAAAATAGAAGACAAACTTATTTCAATAGCTTTGCGATCTATTAGTGACATATTCCAATGGTCTGAGGAAAACGGCGATGCAGTAGAATACAGCAGATTGGTTGTGTTGCATGATCTGAGACAAAAAACAGTAGCAATCAACTTGAAGAGAAAGTTTAAACATCCCAAAATAACGTACATCATAAAAATACTACGTTTTAAATGTCGTCTTCATATTTTTGTATAAACCCATATTTAATATGCGTTTGGTTCATTTGAATATAATTGCGCTATTATTTTCAGAATATATACTATTTCTTAGATATGCGCTTTTAATATTACACTTCGCAACAGTGAATAACCCCGATATAGTAAAAAAATAGCTTTGCCAGAATAAGTTCACTAAATTGCGACTCCCCTGTATTTCAGACCTCCCTTCTTCATTTATTCTCACTCGAAAATGAGTGTAAGTCAAATGTATTTAGGCCCGTATCGTCAGTCGTCCCTACAATTGTAGGGCGCGTTTATGGCCTCCTTGATTGTCATACTCCTTTCTCTCCTTCAAAAATTTCTAGATTACACTTGTCCCCTGTCAGCGCCAGCGCTCTCCTATTGTGAAGATATGTTTTCTTTTTAAATTTTAGGAAATTTCAGGCTGATAAAACATGATATAACTCAAAAGCAAACACAATTTGATGCAAATAGATGTTTGTGACATAACCTCAAAATAGAGCGCTGACACGGAGAAGTAGAAAACTATGACAATCAAGGAGGCCATAAAGGCGCCCTACAATTGTAGGGACGACTGACGATACGGACCTTAGATAACAGAAATCCGAAATGACTTCTGAGTACAATATCTTACTGTGCATGATGAACAAATTGATTGCCCGGTAAACCAGACAGTAAAGGCCAACAACAAAAATGCTTGAGCTATAAGTTATTGAGGACTCAACCTAAAATTATTATTTCGAATTCTGTAAAAATAAATTTCAAATCAACTAATTTTAAGCAAGTAACAAAGTAATGATTGATTCATAATTCTCTAACACCTAATGCTGGTGAATAAAAAAAAGTACAACTTTGATAAGAGTTCTTTTGTTATTATTTAGGTATCACGTCAGGTGATCTTAGGCGCACGGATTGATACTGATTGTAAAGGAATGCAAAAAGTTTTAAACAAGTAAATTTTCAAAAAAATATAAACAACAGGCCTGCAGAAACTGAAAGGAATGAAGAAAAATCTAGAAACACCTCATATGTCAAAATCCATCAAGCTGTTTAAGCTGCAGCCCGTAAAATGGGAATTTCAAGAATGAATTATTTTGTTAAAATCTGCATTTTTATAACTTTTCGTATACCCATTGTTACTCGCACTTCCAAGGAAAATCCAGAGACATCACATGTCAAAATCCATTAAGCCCTTTAAGCTGTAGCTCGTGAAATTGGAATTTCAAGGTAGATTTTTTTCCATTTAAATCCGCCAATTTGTTTTCATAATATTTTAACACAGAGTCACTCGCACTGATAAGATGAATCCAACGACACCTCATATGTCAAACTCCATCAAGCCGTTTGATATGTCATAAATAGCGTTTATTGACCAACGGTAGAGGAAACAATTTACAGGAATCATAAGAAAACATAAATTAAACTAACAAAAATTGAAACCATAAAAAAGCAGTTGACTCTATCTTAAGAAAAAAAAACAAGAAAAAGAAGCAAAAAAAATATTTTACTCAAGTGAGAATGATAAATTGTTTAAGTAATTCTTAGCTACTAACAGAATGCTGTTTAAACGGTCAGCATGTACGAGTATATCACAATAATTATATAGATATGACATTGAAAGTTTCACACATGACAAATATGGGTGCTTTCAAATATAAACTTGTGCGAATCCTGTCACAATAAAAGGTTTTAACGTTATGAGCTTGAATAGATGGAGCATGAAAGTTTAGTTGAGCTACAATCTCATTAGCATCAATTTCATGGTGCAGCAGATTAAGCAAGAATTGACGCACACTTATCAACTCGGAAGACTCAATTTGAAACCTAGACAATAACAAACATTCAGATATACGAGCCAGGATATACATCGTCAACCTTGAAAGATAAAAATTTCAGAAACTTTCTCTGAACATGCTAAAGAGAATCAATGTAGTAGTTGTAAATTGTGTTTCACATTAACGATGCATATTCCAATTTCGATCTTATGAATGCAGAAAACATAACCAACAGTGACTCTGGGACGCTGAAGCTTATGCAGAACAATAAAGGACCAAGGTTTGAACCCTGAGGCACTCCCGATTTAATTACATACTGTTACGACTTGAAACCATTGAAAGTAACACCCTTTCATAAAAATAACTGAATGTTTAAATAATAATAATTAGGGTATTTGCTAGTGTGTGGAGTGTAAAACAAACGCTTTAGATTTTTAATCATAAATGGATGCTATACTATTAATTAGTAGCAACAAAAACTATGTAGCTGTTTCAAATATATTCTGTGACATTGCTTATGAATAGAATCTTAATTGATGACTGACAATTTTTACGGTCAGGTGCTGGCGCCTAATTTTCAAATCATGTATTTTCAAAGTTTTTGGGAATACTTATTTTAATAATTCTTTTCAATTAACTCTTTACATAAATGTAACATCTGAAACTTACCTGTAGTTGTCAACTTGAAACTGTTACGGACATACAATATTCTTTTTATGTAATGCTAAAATTTCCTATCACGTTTTGTATGTCTAATGGCATAGGAAGTTGAAAGCCAACTTACATGCGTTAAATATAATAATAATAATTTTATTTACGTAACATACAAATGTAACTAAAACTATATTGCTACTTTATTAGTCAAGCGGGACAAAAAGCTAGTAAATTATAAAAGCGTAAGTAATAAGTATAAAGTAGTTGATGCTTAAAATCACAAAGTAAATGTAACTCTTGTGAAATATACTTTTAGCTAGTTTTCATATTTTTTAAAATCAATAACTAAATGGGCGGCGAATTTTGGGCATTTTCCACTACATTCCAAAGACGTATATAAAAAATAAGCATAATATATTATGAAGATAATCATTTTCCATGCGGTGTTGAGAAATAGATACTCGTCGGTTACGAGGATAAACTAGGTTAAAGTGGAATATGAATTCACATGTTGCAGATAAGGTATATTTAGATTGAGTAATTTATTAGTTAATCGAACTGATGAAAGGTCAGGCATGTGTCTAGAATATTTATAGATATATTTTAATCATTGAGATATTCATTAATTTGAACTCCTAGAAAAATGCAGCACTACGTTCGCTATTATTTTAGATTAAGCACAAGCGCATTATCGCTATAACCTTGGGGTCGGCAACCTGCGGCTCTTTTGATGTCAAGTTGCGTTTCTCCAGTTCATAGTAAATCCTCTTAGCACAAACATAAATGAGATCAACATTGAGCCATTTGGAATTAACGTTGGTTTGTGTCAAATGCAATTGCTGGTTTTTGTAAATTGTAACTTTTGGCTCTTCCAGCTCAAAAGGTTATAGCCCAATACACATATAAGAAAAATTAATTTCCTACAAATTGTTACGTTAAAAGTATACCAATTTAAACAGTATACAAATTGGTGAAGAGTGAAGGGTTAAGCAGATTATTGTACTTGTTCATTTTTTTTCACTTTTCAAATACTAATAGAACATGGCAGCCTAAATACCTAGAAGTGTTGAAACATTCTGTCGCATCCAGGGTGTTCCTTAATGATATGCGAATATTTAAGGGTGTCAATCTACATGAAAAATCAATGTTAGTTTGCTTAATAAACTATGGTCAAAAAATGTTTCCTGACAAAAAATCGGGGTGTTGAAGTTTTAGGAAAAAATGGAAATAAATTAATATTTTCAGAAACGCTATTTTTCAATGTAAAAATAATGTTTAGCTTCAACAGTGCGTACAGGTATTGACTTCGATATTTTTTTAAGAAAAAAAATGGTACGCCAATGGTTTTTTGCCAAACAAAAATTATTTTTGAATTCCCCGTTCAATTCAAAACAAATGATCTCTCTTGAATTGTTTTGTTTCGATACGCCATTTTTGAGTAAAAACATAAAAACCGTTCTATTGTCTAACTTGCAAAATTATTATTAATTTAGTTGGAAAAATTAAACACATTAGGGGCAATGAACAACAACAACTGACAACATAAACATAACATTAAAACCAACGAAATGATTACAAAAATTGTTGAAAATGGCCCCTTCACTTAGTATGCATGCCTCCGTCCTCCTTCCCATGAAATTGCGCACTCGTTGAAATATCACTGGAGTGTTTTTTATTCTATCACAAGCTGCAACTCTTCTTCGTTTAAATCCTCTACAGTGTTAATGGGACTTGTGTACACTAGTGTGTTAAGATAGCCTCACAAAAAGAAATCTAAACTGTTGAGGTCTGGGGACCGTGGTGGGCATTCTTGGGGCCCACCGCGGCCAATCCAACGATTTGGATAAACAGTTTGTAACTAATTACGAACCGCTTCACTGAAATGCGCTGGTGCACTATCATGCATGTACCACATATTGTTTCTTATTACTAACGGAACATCATCAAGCAGCAAAGGCAACTGTTGTTGAAGAAAATTGAGGTAAGTCTGCCCGTCAAGAAGAATGGGCCAATAAAGTTGTTGCCAATAATTTCTGCCCATACGTTAACCGAAAATTGGTGTTGGAAAAATGAGTTTCGGTTACTGCATAGGGATTTTCTTCTGCCCACAAATGTTTATTGTGGAAATTCTGAATGGAATTTCGAGAAAAATTAGCTTCGTCCGTGAACAGAATCATTGATTCAAATTGCGGATTTTGTGTAATTTTTTGAAGATACCACTGACAAAAGGTCACACGCCTTGGAAAATCAATGGGAAGTAATTCCTGAACTCTTAAAATATGGCAAGGATATAACAAAAAATCCACTAAAATTCTCCAAACAATTTGATGACAAATATTTAAGTGTCTAGCGATCTTCGTCGTACTCGTTTCAGGATGTTCTTCGACTTCGTGTAGCACTGCTTCCTCAATTTCAGGTGTTCTCACACTTAGAGGTCTACCTTCAGATGTTCCTTTTCGGACAGAACCAGTTTCAACAAGACGACGATGAATATTAGAAAAGGTTCGACGGTTCGACTATCTTCGTACTCGTTTCATGATGTTCTTCGACTTCGTGCAGCACTGCTTCCTCAATTTCAGGTGTTCTCACACTTAGAGGTCTACCGTCAGATGTTCCTTTTCGGACAGAACCAGTTTCAACAAGACGACGATGAATATTAGAAAAGGTTTGACGGTTCGACTATCTGGCAAAGCACGATCGGGATATCTCTGGTGATAAATCCGTCTGGCTTGATCACCATTATCGTCGGCAAGGCCATATACGTAATGCATTTCCGCCGTTTCTGCATTTGAACAATTCACCATTATTAACAACATTGTAAAAACTAAATAATGAAAAAGATATTACAGCGAACAGATTTGAATAACAGAGACTTGTCAGATGTCAAAAGCCAGTGACATATTCCAGAGCAACTAGATATTTATTGCTAAATTGCATTCTTCCATTATTACATTAATTTTCTCGGACAATAGAACGGTTTTTATGTTTTTGCTCAAAAATGGCGCATCGAAGGCAAACAATTCAAGAGAGATCATTTGTTTTAAATTGAACGGGGAATTCAAAAATAATTTTTATTTGGCAAAAAACCATTGGCGTAACATTTTTTTCTTAAAAAATATCGAAGTCAATACCCCTACGCAAGCAAACTAACATTAATTGTTCATGTAGATTCACACCCTTAAATATTCGTACATCATTAAGGAACACCCTGTATAAAATTTCAGATGCATGATCATTGCACACCAATAATAACCAACAGTGGGCCAACCGTATGCAACTGTTTCATGCTTATTGGCAATCGTCAACAGGATCTAAGCTAGGTCTCTAGGTAGGGCAACGAACGAAAGCAGAGCAAGGTCTATCTAAACATGATAGCAGAAGTGTCATCTATTACACCGCTCCGCATTGAAAATTCTTCGGGTGCAAACGAAGCTATTTCCGAACCATTTTGTCTGGCTGAACACGAAAACCACCATAATTAGCTCTTCTTTTAAAGATACAGAATCTAGTTGCGTATTAAAACCTCACTACAAACTGTGGTCCGAAAATAGTTTACACCGTGGCAAAAATAGAAAATTCAGAGAACTAGAAATGCCAAGTCATTTGAAGGGTAGAGGGGAAAAAGATGAATGTCACAAAAAGTAAGTTTCGAGAAAAGTAAATTTAAGTTTGAAGACTCCTAGACCCGTTGTACAGAGCGGGTCAAAGATCTGACGGAGTACCATAGATTAGTTATTATAATTAATGGGAAAAAAGTTAAATTATAAATAAAAAAAATGTTTTTGATATACGGGGTAACCCAAAAGTGAAAGCAGGCCGATTATTTTTTTACTGGAAAATCCTTTTTGTATTTTGAAATTCTCCTTACGATTTTAAACATTTTTTTATGTGTCAGCGACCATTCAACTTTTTTGAGATATTGAGGTTAGAAATGGGCTTTTCGTCATATGCGACACCCTGTAAAATCTAAAGGTTGATTAAGCAGCAAAATGCCTATCTTAGGGTTCACGATCTTTTCTAAAATGAGAACAACCTGAACAGGACATTTTTCTACTCAGGGCCTAGAACATGAGAAAAAAGTGATTTTCTAAACTCAATAGCTCAAAAGACAAGAAAAAAAAGAACCAAAAGATTATCGAACAAACAAAACAAAATTAATGGTAACGGCTTCAAAATGATTACTTAACGTTTATTTATTTCGTAGCAGATTGATGTACAGCAATGGACAAACTTATATAGACAAATATGAATATTTACCTGAATACCTTTAGAAAACGAATTCATACTTCATTGCTCCATAAACAAATGCGTTAGTAGTAGAAAAACTAAATTCCTTGTTTTTACATTATCTGCAATGAACACAATACAAGTCTGAGTATAAGCACTTTTTTATGAGGGACAAAAATATGTAGACAAATTCTTTTCAACATAGTTTAGTAGTTTCGTGTCAGAAGAGGATTAGTTTGTGTTCATCAAGTATTGTGGAATAAGTTGAGTGATTTTAAGACCATGCCGCGTGGTCCAGAAATTTCTTTCGATGTGAAAACTAAGATCATGGAGTTATACAAAGATGGTCAACGTCAAGTCGACATTGCCAAAAATTTGAAGCTGAAGGGTAAAGCAGTTTGGGCAATATTGAATAAATATAAACAAAAAGGTATCTTGGAAGCCTCTAAGAGAAGTGGTCGAACTATAAAACTAAATGCTAGATCAGTTAGATTAATAAAAGTAATTTCGTCCAAAGATCCGTTTAAAACCCCAAGACAAATAGAAGCCGAAACCGAGACAAAAGGAATTGGCAGTGTTTCTACGAAAACTATAAGTAGAAGATTAAATGATTTGAAGTTATTCGCACGTCGCCCGAGTAAGAAGCCGCTAATCTCGAGGAAAAACCGTAAGGACCGATTACAATTTGCAAGGTTGCATCTTGATTGGAGCATCTGTGACTGGAAGAGGGTATGTTTCAGTGACGAATCCAAGTTCAATATGTTTGTATCAGGTGGTGTTCATTAGGTTAGACGTCCTAGTGGACAAATATTGAACCCCAAGTACACTTTGCCCACTGTCAAACATGGAGGCGGGTCTGTTATGGTTTGGGGGTGCTTTTCGGGATTTGGGATGGAACACTTATATAGATTAGATGGCATTATGGGTAAGTTTGTATACACAGACATACTAAAGCATGTCATGTTACCCTTAAGATCAATCTTCCAGCAACATAATGACCCCAAGCACACTTCAAATCTCGCAAAGAAATTCTTTCTGGATGAAAAAATACCAGTTCTCAAATGGCCTTCACAGTGTTCCGATATAAACCCCATTGAAAATCTATGGGAATACTTACATAAGCAAATACGAGATAAAAATTATTTAAACAAGGATGAACTTTTTGCAGCTTTAGAGCAAAAGTGGAGACACATTGAAGAATCTTATATCAAGTAAGTTCTACAATCTATGCCGAGACGATGCCAGGATGTGATTGATAATAATGGTTATGCTATAAAATATTAACACAAACGTGG